TAGCACAGTCCATCCATCTGGTTATTAGTCAGCTTTCATGCATCCCTGAGCGTAACAGGACCTGGAGATAGTTCATCCCTTTGCAAAGTCAGGAGGCAAAGAGAAAAAAAGGTTAATTTGTTACTAATACATCAGAAAGTAAGCAACAGAATAGGGGCAAATATGTATGCAGAAAACCTATGTCTATTCGTGTCTGAACACATCAATATTATCTGCAGTCTGTTCACTTATTCTATACCAGCCGTTGTGTAGTTCCTGTGAGCACTAAGGAAGCAATCAGGTGCTTCCCTGCATCTGCTGATACAGGACGTGGAACCAGGGACTGATGGGAGGTCAAACTGAAGTTAGGTTTGTTTGCAACACGTGGGATACAGCTCACTACATCATCTGTTTCAGAAGTCATCTCTCATGTACAACACTTAAACATATTGCCATGTAGTACTTCTGGCTAGCTTTTCCCCAGAAGATTAAAAAGCAAGAGGGGGAGACACAGGAAGTTTGTACACAAGACATAATTATTTGGAAGGTTGTTTGAAAGAGTTAGCACTTATTAATTCCAGACATCTGAACACATTTTTAAAAAACCTTACACTGCAAAAGTCAATATTTGTCCAGAAGACAGCATTAAAGGTTCAGTCACAAATGTGCTTATTTTGTCCCCTTCACCTCTAAAGGTTCGAAAGAGCTATGTCTCTCTCTAGACATCTAGGGCTTTGGCCACATCAGCAAATGGTCCAATACTACAGGAACAGATATGTAAAAAGGAACACTTGGTGCTGAGGACCTAACTTCCACCCTCCATACATCTTCATATTTTACTCGGAACTAAGTTTAGTCAGACCCCATGGATTGAAAAACCATTATTGTCTGAAAAGTGTGCTCCAGGGGTACATCTTGCAATTAGCTTCATTCAAGAGGAAACCAGTTTGTGTGCCCAGCGATCGCTTTGCAATACAAACCAAAGCAATTTGGTTGGAAGGGGGGTGATTGTGGCATTGGCTTCAATAGCACACTCCTGATTCAAACTAAAATGCTAATACAAACCGACCCCACATACGAGATCTGCACATCAGACTTGTCTGAAAGATCTTTGCTGCAACCAGAAGTGCTGAGCACTGAAAACCCTTGAAAATGTCTCATTTTTACATGCCTGTATAGAAGCTGAATTCTTGAACGTCTACTAGTCATGGTCCTCTGAACCTTAGTGCTGAGGCTTTGGATTCAGCAAAGCATATAAGTATGTCATTAAAGATAAGTGTGCACTTAAGTATTTTGCTGAAGAGGGAAATCAGTGATAATTTATCTTGCAATTCTGTAGTGCAGGCATAAAAAAAAAAAATCTTTCTCTGCGAAGCTGCTATTTCTGGGATACTGATGATAAAAATGTATGCATACATTTGACAAATTTATTATACAGATTAATGTCCCTTATGAAGGTTGTCAGATGAGTCATTGCTTAACCACTGCATTTCTTACATTAGGGAATCTAAGAGTGGACCAGGACCTAGACAATTTGGATTTTGTTCCTAGTGTTGCCATTCACCTGCTGAGTGACCTTAGGTAAGTGAATTCATCTCTCTCTGCCTCAGCTTCCTCACCTGTAAAATGGGAATCATGATCATGCAAGAGGTTCTTGAAGGTCTACAAACCCCTTCATAAGGCTTAGGCTACTGATATTTGTAATGTTACTCTTTCTGGTGTGATATGGGACCCACTGGTTCTCCAGTTCCATATAACTGTTTTTCCTCAGAAAAACAGCAACAAAAACCATCAGACCACTTCCTATTTTCCTTGCCTATAGTCACCTCAAGGTAGAGTCAGTAGGGGTTTGTCTGTAACAAACATGCAACTCTTACTCAGCAGGATGCCTGGGATCAGTGAGGCTGGCAACATAAAGGCTGACACACGCAGGTATATATGTGCATACATACCGAGGGCTGTTTTGCACACAACTAAAGGAAGAGTATCATCTTTCATAAGCCTTAAAAAAACCTCCTTACTTGTGAGAATAATAGGATTGGCTTCAACAGATCAGCTGCTTCAATGGCATGAGTGTGTTTGAGTGCATGTGTGAGCGTGTGTGTGCATGCACACAGGCTGACACATACTGTATGTGGCCTTATACACATATACTCTGTGTGTATACACAAATTGTATCTAAGCGTTACAATTTTCCAGCCAATATTTGGATTTTTTATTAGCCTTATTTTGGCGGCAAAATAAATCATTTATCTTTGAAGTACAAATGATTCCAGGTACACATTAATTACAAGCATAAAATAGCTGTCCAGACTCCCTCTTCTGTTTTACAGCCTGCAGAGAGGAAACTGAAAAGTTGTGTTACATCTGTACATCTTTACTACAGCAGAGTTACCATATCTGGTGCTTTTCGTTATTTATCACTTCCAGATTTTGTCATGCCATTGATCTTCTGGAAAGGGCTCACATAAGACTAAAATTAACTCTGGGCTAAGGTTTAAAATAAAGAACAGGATTAGTAATGATGGCAAACTGTATCTGCATGCACAGGCTTTGATCAGCAAATCAAGGATCTCCTGTCTGCTCAATGTGTGTTTCCCACTAAACTGCCCAAATTTAGTCTCTTACAGGTTTGAGTAACCGATGTGGAATGAATTCTACAGCTGCTGGTTGGATTTGTCCCTAACGTAGACAGTGATACACTAGTTGTTACATTAACCAAAAGAAGGCCAACCCTCCCCCATCAAATGCTCTGAGAAATAAATCAAGAAGTAAATCATATTTGTACTCAGATATTTTGGATTGCGGTTAAACAAAAATCTAGTTTAGAAATGTTTTCTGGTTGCTGGTTACGAAGTCCATGGATGCTTTTGGCACAAAACTGACTATTCCATGCCTTTATCCAGCAAATAAATATTTATTTGGTGTTCATAGCTTTTTATCTTGTAATTTGTTTATAAAGCACAGGTCCTATCTTGTTTGACTCAGTCAAGTCCCACTACACTGAATGGAGGAGTAATTTGCTGCTTTATACACTAATCTTGAATAGTAACAAAATGAAGCAAATTTGCTTCCACACCATAAATATGAACCGCCGAGTTTGTTGCTAGTGAACTAGCATGGGAAACTCCACTGAATCCAGTAGAGCTGCTCTTCCTACTGGGAAAACCTTTTCCCAGGTTTTTCTGCACTTGCATGCAGGATAAGAAAGATTTACTAACATGAAATAAAATCCTGGCTTTATTGACACCAGTGACAAAACTCCTCTAACCTTGGTGGGGGCTGGATTTTGAGCAGTCCTTTGGGGAAGGAGAACACATTTCACTGCCGTCACCCCCGAAGGAAATGACCTACCCTTTCTCTTAAGCAAGCCCCAAGGCACCCACGTCACACGCAATGTGTGCTGGAGAAAAAACGCGTGTGTGCCTAAGGAAAAGTGATCCATAAGGAAGGAGGCTATGCAGCAGGGTGCTAACGTGGAGGAGTGGCTATGCCTCGGGAGATGTGGGGTCACTGCAGACCCTGAAGAAGGGGTTAGACAACGCCCACCAGCAGCGCCGTAGTATATCGGGGGCAGGGAAATGGGGTAAATTCTCTCTCAAGGTCCCTTTCCTCCTTCTTTGCCAGCACTGCTATGGAGTCTGGCAAGATAAGGCGAAGGGTATTAAGACTCTTACGAGCTGGGTCTCGGCCGTGTCCGAGAGACGCGAACTGGCACCCGCACAGGTGCAGGGAGGGGCCGCGGGGGACAGAGGTCTGCGGAAGGCCGCCGCCGGGGCTTCCAGCCAGGAGGGAGGCCCCGAGGACCCGCAGACTGCCGAGGGGTGAACACCGA